CAATTACTCTGGCAAACTGCTTTGAGATGGAGGGAGTTTCAGCCTTGGTTTCCAGACTGGAGGTGTTCAGTCTCAGTTGTTTAGAGTTCTTTAAAATGAGCAATAAAGCCTCAGGGAGCAGCTGCAGACTGTTAAGTCTAAATATGGTGTAAATGCAATAAAATGGCTCAACAAAATCACAAACTTAACACAGCAGTTTATTTTACATATTTAAATAAAAAGTGTTTAATGTGGTGTTGATGCTCTGATGCTAAAATACTTTAGGCAGCGCTCCACAGTCCTCTCAGGCTTCCACACACATATCCAACTAGCAGCATGCAGCTCAGAACAGGGGTGTGGGTGTGTGCCAAGTGGTTTCCAGAAGTGACTGCTGTGTTTGGCGTGGCTATGTGCTGGGAGCCTGAAAGCCTCCTTTCTTACTGCAAGCTGGCACCAGGCACATGTGTGCAGTGGAGCCGCGTCTGTGCAGAAACATCCTAATATTAGAACTAATTGAAATAAGCCAGGCGTTGTGGAGGAGCTCGAGCCCAGCCCCGTTCGGTCTGCAAGGCCGCGAGTTTCTACACAGTCACCTCGTGTTACATCCCTGTGACACCGGATCACCGAATCCAACATGCTGCATTCTCTCACTCGCGTGATAGATGGTCCGAACCCAAACACACACACACACAGAGCATGACTTGATCACCTCATTTGCACTATTTTGCCTCTTCTCTCTCTCTCTCTCTTTCTCTGCCCCCACCTCTCATGAGCTCATTAGCACCTCTGCTGATGGCGAGATGGAAGGATGGAGGGAGTCAGGGTGGGGCGGGTTTGGGGGGTGATTGAAACCTCCGGGGGATGGTCTCCTCCCTCCTGACAGGCAGCATTTGTAAAACATTTCCCACTCTGCTGCCTGACACTGATGATTCACCAGAGCACCACCATGATAGATAGATAGATGGATAGAAACACAGGCACATACATGTACAGTCCAACTTGTACCCACCACACCTCTTAATTTTTTGTGACAAATGAAAACCATGCTACTGTGCATCATGCAGGCCGTGTGATGGACAGGCCACCTCTTTAAATCGCACACAGGGACGCACACAGATCTGCAAGGCAGTGTTTGATGGCGAGGCAGACTGCGGAGGGAGGAAATTGAACAGAACAGTCAGGACAAGGGGCGTGGTGAGGGGCGTTACACCTCTGCAAGATGGCATCGGTTGCTATGCAACTGGGCACCAAAGCTATTTATACATCGGCCCCCTTGTCCCCCTTTTTCCTCCCCAAGCTCTACTGCTGCTGATCAGGTCTGGCAGAGTAGAGAGTGGGAATTTGTATGCACCGGGGTTCGACTGATAGGGGGGTTCTGGTACTTTGTGCAGGAGTTTCATTTTGGGTTTCCTCATTTTCTTCCACTGCTGTTAGAAGTTAAAACGATAAATAATAATAATAATATTATCTCTAAAAGAAAAAAATGAATTCTCACCAATTAAACATTTTGCATTGAACCACATTGGGAAATTAATTATCTACATTAATTCAATCTGATCGATCATCTGCCAGATTCAAATCTTTTATATTTTCTTTTTTTAGCGACTCCCTTCACCTTTTCAAAGATCTCTTGTTTGGCCTTAAAATATAAATAGATTGTTTTTCCTTCCAGCAACCTTTTTATGTATATAATCAAAATAAGCATCCAGAAACAAACCAATACAAAAAAGCACAAACTAAAAAACTGCTCTACTTCCATGAATAAAACATCAAGAATATTTGTAGAAAATACCTGGGTTGGATAAATACTGCATGATTTATAGACATTATTTTTTTTCTTTTTGTTCACTAAACTCACACCTGCACCATCATGCAACTTGTCCACTGGTGGAGGCCTTTTGTAATGGTAAATGTAGCAGAAATGAAAAATGCTGCTGCGGGGATGTGAGACAAAGTGGGGGACCAATCCATGCCCAGGTCTGGGTCTCCACTGACAGGTGATTTAACTTGAAGGACTTCTTGGTAAGTACTGAAAATGTTGCCGTAGCTTGATATAATATTTGTGGATTTTTGAAGAATAAAAAAACAACCCAAATCAGCTCTTTTACTCTAAATAGGGCAGCGATTTTCAAAATGAGCATTATCATGAAAAAATTTGCGAGACAAGCAATTAAGACCATAAACTTCAAGTAATCAGGAAGTAAAATAAAAAGTGGGGTTGTTTTGCCTGCAGACCTCTACATCCTTTTACTGTTTTTTTAGGTAGGAGAGTCGCCCCCTGCTGGCTGTTTAGGAAATAAAATGAGCATAATATGTTTTTCTGAAAAACGTAAGACTTAATTTTTTATTCACGTATTAACATGATGGGAGTTTTTTGTTTTGTTTTTTGCCCCTTTACGGTTAAAGAATTTTTTTCTTGTGTAGTGTACTTCGGAAAATCTGATAAAATAAATTTTTCCCAGATTGTTACTTTACTTGAAACAATTATGCACTGAAATAGAAATGATAAATTCATAAATAGTTTTGTTTCAGTGTTTCAAAATAAAGAACGGCTCTGACAAAAATGTCCCGAAAATACTATATATGTCACTCTGTTTAAAAACTGCTAAATCAGTTTTGTTGATTAGCTGATCATGTACTAATCTTTTCATCCATTAATGTTGGAATTTAGTGTGGTAATGTGTCTCGGTTGCTAAGTTGTTGTTTGTTTGTTTTTTAACTTAGTAGACTTAAACTGACATTGCTGTCTGGATTTTTTATTCATAAACAAGCATAAAATGAGCTGCTTCATTAAATAAAGTCACTTTCAGGTTGGCCAAATAGGCTCTGAAGTGAGAATCATAAAGTGACATTTTTAAAGCCGGTTTCAGCAGAGAAACTCTTGTGTATTGATTTAACCAAGACTAAAGGGGCTGCTTTTTTTCCTGTGTCAATGACCATTTGTCGGGTATTGTATATTGTTTTGCTGTATCCCTGTGGAGCTTGAGTAGACGGTCTCTTGGCTCTCTCTTAGTTCAAGTGAAAAAGCAAAGAAAAGGGTCACCGTAAGATGACTTGGAATAAATTTTAGCCTGTTATTTTTGCGATCCAGAATCAGCCCCGGCTCTTTTTCTTGTTCCTCTTGTTGAAACAATGAGTCTTCCTCGTGCAGCCCACCGAGCGTAGCCATCACTTCAAGGCACCTTGAGAACACGAGCCTGTCAATCTGTTAATTTCCTCTTATTTAAACCCTGAACTTATTAACTTCTCATTCTGTGTTGTTGCTCTGCGTCACCGAGCAGAGAAACCAACCAGACAATGGGTGTGATTGAGAGGCAAAATAGATGACATTATTGAATTTTAATCACATCTTTTCCTTCACCGTCGTCGAACACGGCAATTACCTGGCTACAAGTGTGTGTGTGTGTGTGAGTGTGTCTTTAGGAAGGAGTTGAAGCTCAAAGCCGACGACCGGCTCATCAGGTCCTCATGGCGGCTGAAAGAAGGTCGTAAGTGGCTATCAGTGCACCCGACCCTGTCTGGATGGATCCCTCCTGTCACAGCATGGCGAGCTCCTTCCATATGGAGAGGGGCCTAATTATCCCCCACCAATGACTGAATCAACATTTGATTATATCCTCCCCAAGGCTGCGCTGAAAGGCTCTATTCAAAGACCACGTTTATGTCTTTTCTCTCATAATCAAGAAAGGCTGTTATTTGCTAATGATAAGCCTAATTTCTTTTTTTAACACAACCACTGACGTGCTGTGCAGCAAAATGTCTGACATATCTGCTGCTTTATGCCCTTGAGGATACCGACTCCGATTTTAAAGGGGACCTATTATACTTATCCATAATTTATGTCATATATTTATACAGCTACAACAGTGGATGCTCGTATTAAACATGGCCAAAGATTCATATAATAAGATCAGCGTATGCAGACATTTTTTTTTTCTGCATTTGGATCTGTAGGCTGTTGAAGTCGGGAGATGTACCTAATATCGTTGCTCGTCTCTGGCACACTGAACAGAAAGGGCAACCAATCAGGGTAATAGTGGCTTAAAGGGAAAAGGAAGAAGGCTGAAAAGGCTCGTTTCTGACGTAGACTGTATATAAAAGAAGTACTTAAAGTTGCATTGTTTTTGATGACCAGGGGAGGGGGGCTCCTATGGTTCCAAAACGTCCATTAATATAGAAGCTGATGGGAAAATGTATCTCCCACAGTTGCTCGTGGGTTTCAAATCTTGGTGGTCTACAGCCAAAATGCTTCAGAAATATACGTAATAAAACATTTCTAATATTGGACCACTGGCTCTGGTTTTCATGATGTGCTACCAGGTCGGGTGTAAGACCAAAAGCTCGTAACTACAACCAGAAAAGACGCAGACCTTGGATTCGACCTTCTTAGTGTAATTTGTCTAAGTACAGACTAATGATTAACAAACTTCTGTGTGTCTGAAAGGAAAAACATGTGAGCCGGTAACTTGGCTTTTTAATTTACCAAATATCTGCGTGGTGCCCGTCTGACTTTGTATTGGAGTTCAGAGTCGTAGCCAACAATGCAATCACTGTGGTGACTGCAAACACATCCTTTATTAAATTCAGTACAGTTTTTTTATCAATGGATCTAAAGCTAAGCTAAACTGCTAATATAGGGCTTTATTCATTTTCTCCACAAATGTCTTAATTTGTTACATAATAAAGAACAGATGAGAAAACATATGCTTGTAATTTATGATTAAAACTCATCTAATAGCCAATCAAGTCAGCTTTATTTAAATAACATTAAAAATGCAACAGATGTGAAAGTGCTGGGCAACATCTGCAGTCAGTTGTTTTAATCATCTTATTTGGACTTAGCACATCCAAATCAATGGGTAATGGCACATTTTAAAAATTCGTCCCATTTAATGGTTTTAGACACATTTTAGAGACCCTCTCTTTTTATAAGTGTTTGATTGAAATGAAAGGACTGCAGCTCCTGAATATTGGCGCTTTATTGGTTGAATAGATGGTTTTCCTTTTCTGAACGTGGAAGATCAAGAAACCCATAAGTCCTTTGTTTTGACCGATTTTCTTTGTGATCAGCATACCTCTGCGGTAATGCTTGAATGAGTTTTCAAACTTTGCCGACTCGAAGACAATAAAAATGTTTCTGTCAAAAAGCTCTCTAACTGTCAAACCTCAGGAACGCCTGTTTTAAAAGCTGCTGACGACAAAGCTGTGATTTTTAGATTTATTGTTGTTTTTGGTGGGGGGATTTCTGTCTCACAGTCAGAGGAACCTGGCAGAAATCACAGAGTTGATCCATACAGCCTTCCTGGTGCATCGTGGGATTGTTAACTTGAAGGAGTGGACGGACTCAGACGGCCCGCTGAAGGACATGCAGTTTGGGAATAAGATGGCTGTTCTGAGCGGCGACTTTCTGCTGGCCAATGCTTGCACGGGACTGGCCCAGCTCAACAACACTAAGGTATCCTGTCCGTCACTAACACTTCTCCTGAGAAATATTTGACCTGACATGACTGATTTCAGGGGGAAGGGCTGCTCAGTATGAGCCCTTCGAGGTCCCGAGAGCCTCACGTATCAGTGCCAGACTTCATACCGACATCTTTTCTCTCAGTCATCTCTTTGTAGACATGAAATGTATTCAATAAAACACATTTTTAGCAGTTTTGCTAATTCTTATTCAAGGTGATGCAATCCTGATATTCATTTATTTGTGTTAATCTGCTTTAATGTCATGTTTTTCATTTTGCCTGCTTACTGCTCCCAATTCCTTTCCTATAGTCCTTTACATCCTATCCCAGGGTTAGGGCCTGAAAGCCTAGAAAGCCTAGAAAGCCTAGCTTCATCCCAGACCTTTGAATCATCTCCTAATATTGTTTTTGATTAATGTCAGCATTATCAGTTGAAGAATCAGATACCAATCGGAGAAGAGTTTGTCAACTAAAGAAAATGGGAAAGGAAAAAAGTCCTGAAAAAAGCTTTTGTAGTCCTGTGTTGAACCTGGGCTGACAAAACAGAGCAGATCATGTTGGACTTGGAACTAATAAATATTACAGAATATTCCCTTTTACTGAAGAGCTGGAGAGAGAGAAACGACTCAAAATCAATTGAATCTAACCCAGATCGCTAGAGCAAAAGAAATGAGAGGAAAAAAGCTTTTTGCTTTTGCTTTTCAGTAGACTGCTCACATGGCGTATTACTACCAAGCGGATCCATCACAGTTATGGTTGCGTTGCCAAAATGCGAAGCTATATTTCTATAGTTCACTTCAAGCTACAGCACAAGTTGCATCATAGGACATATGCCTAAGGATTTTAAGCATTTAAATGAACAACTGTTCATTTAGATTTTTTGTGTGCACACATGTGCATAGTGTAGTGAACCTTCTATTTTTAAATATCAGAGCTTTGCAACTCTGAGATGAAATGTGTTCAATGTGTTTGTTTGACGTGACACAAACGATAATCGTAAAGACAGGGGTTTACCCATCGGGCACCTTTTAGTTAAATCAGGGCTGTCAAATTTATTTTAGTTCAGGGCCTGCAGACTTCTTCAGATTTTCCTCTTTTGTTTAAGTGTAAAGGTCCATGTGAAAATGTTCACATTTAATGAACTGTTTTTTATTTGCAAAACACGAAGAGCAATTTGAACAATATGCATTTTTTCCACTTTGAGTCATTCCAGTTATTTAAAAATAAAATACACTGGCATTGGTTCTTGGCTTAACCACATCACTTGTGTGCAGTGTAGCAGACTATATGTGAGGTCTTCCACATTTTTTTCCTCCGTCTGTGATTTTCAGCGCTGCAAACCCAGACTGGATCCTTTGGCGGGCCGTTTTTGGCACCCTGGGGTTAAATGGTTCTAGAAAACCAAAGCTTTGGTTCAGACATAGTGGGATAGAACGGTTCTTCACTGCTAATTTGGGGGGGGGGGGCTTTTTTGTCATTTTGAAGATCTGAAACAGAATTAAATGACTTAATTGTCTTTCTTTCACACATCCTTCAACTTTCCAACAAATTTCAAGAAATTCATCGCAGTTTTTGCAGGCTAAGAAAGAGGGCGTGCACTCCAGCAGTTTAAGTGGAGGAATAACTTCTATTACAACTACAACTTGGCTAATGGTAACACTTTCTCATAGCATTGTTTTAGTGAGCAGACACTGCTTGGCAAGCATGACAAGTTTTGAAATTCAAGGATGTGTGGTGAGACACAGGTGAGACCTGATCTTTTCCTGGTTCCTAGATTCTCAGCAGGTGGTCCCTTTTCTTGACAATTCAGCTGTTATTCTAATAACTTCATGTTTCACACGGTAATCATCTGGTCACCTGGGGGGGGGGGCTTTCATCCTCAAACTTCTTCAAACATGGATCTTCCTAGCAGCATATTTGAGGTGCAAGTGTCAGTCTTTGCTACACGCTGGTAACGAGGTTATCAAGCATATAAACTAGTTATAGTTTTAATCTTTTGACGTTGGTGTGGGGGCAGCCTTGTGAGAGCATCTGAGATCATATCTGCTGCGTAGCCTGGTAACCCCTCGTTGACAGATGCTGTCACCACGCTGCTGCCTCAGAATGCAGTTGCCTGAGTGGATCAAAATAACCATCTCCCCCTCCCGTGCCATCAACCTGACCAGCCCTTGCTGCCTTCCCTGATGCTTCTTTTTCAGCACACGCAGGCATATGTTGTAGGTTCCCAGTAGTGCTTGTTGTATAAGAAACACAGAGGGAGTTATAAACCAACCTTTCCTTGATCAGTTACAGATAATTCTAAAGGTGTGGTGCTTCCTTGATAGTGCTAATTGGCTCTGTAACAATACTAAGAGATAATAGACACTCTGTGGCTAAGCTACAAATTACAGTAATGGAACTGATATTGTTGTTTCCCTGGAAGATGAAGAAAAACACAGTGAGAATGAAATGATGGCAGATCTGCTGATGACTCAAACTAACGATGATTTAATCCTATTAAGCGTGCATTCAAGCCAAGCACATTGGCATTGATTAAACTGAACGCTTACAGCACATTTTCCTTTAGCATTGTTCATTTTCAAGGTGAGAACAATGCCATTCATACTCAGCTAGCACTAAATTACCACAGAGCAATGCTGGAGAGTATTAACCTCTTTTTTTTTTTTTTTCTTTCTCCCAAACAAGCCTGCAATCTGAAGCAACCACAGGAAGCATCCCCCGTAGTGGAAGTTTTTAGAGGTAATAAGGAGATGGACATCTGATAGCTCACAGTTACTCATGTTTGAAAAGGTTAGCAAAACAAAATGAACCAAGGGGAAACCACACCACAGCATGCACTGATGCTCATATTTTCAGCCTTTTTCTCTGGTTGGAACACAGTGGAAATGAGATTATTGTAAACAGCAGAGATGAGTCCATAATGCTGAGCTGAAGGTACAGAAATGTGGTTTAGTTTGGGCTGGATATGGTGTTGAGCTCTGCTCTGTTTAATTCATTGGAAAAGTAAAGCACAGTTAATTTCTTTGACTGTAATTTTTACCTGAAGAAATTTTTACATCCTTAGTCTGATGTTTTTATATCAGATTGTTGTTGTTGGTTGTTTGTTTGTTTGTTTGTTTGTTTTACTTTTATACATATGCATCTACGTTTATACACCGTTTTATGCATTTATTTGAGTGGTTTCTACTACTCAAATGACTTCAAAGTCCACCTAATTATACTTAATTAAATCAGCACTGGTGAAAAAGAAAAATCTGTGTTATCTGTGTATTTCTTAATGGTTTTTGCTGCTCCATGTACATAATTCTTATGGGCAGAATTTCAAATGTAGCCAAGTGTAGAAAGTTGAAACTTTGGTGACTTCAGAATCGAGTCTCTCGTTTTTGTGGATGATGTGGTTCTGTTGCCCTCACCATGTGACGCCCTCATACTTTGCTGCTTTTGCACCTGAGAGTGAAGCAGCAGGAATAAGGTCCAGGTCAGGGCTCAGTTGCATAGTGACCTAAAGAGCATGATTACAGATGAACTTCCTATGAAGGGTTGTTGGACTCTCCCTTAGCAATAGGGGGAGGAGCTACTACTACTGAGTCACTGCTACTCCTCCACATGGTTCAGGAATCTGACTGGGGCCTCCTTGGTAAAGTGTTCTGGGTTTTCCTACTTGGTGGAGCCCATGAGATCTCACAGCTGGCTTGGGCGCACGTCACTGTCTCCTCAGATAGGCTGAAGGACGTGGCTAGGGAGAGGGAGGTCTGGTCTTTCCTGCTAACCTGTTCCACAATATATCACATTATTATTATTATTATCATTATTATTATTATTATCATTATTATTATTATTGTTGTTGTTGTTGTTGTTGTTATCGTTATTATTATTATTAAATATTTCTTTTGCAAAATTGGTCTTTAAATATGTTTACATTTACTTCTCTGTATCAAGAGTCTCTAGAATTTAAAAAATAGTAATTTAATATCATAATAAATACATAAAACGAGAAGCCAGCTCAGTTCATCGGGTTGAGCAGGTGATCCATGTGCTGTAAGGCTTTAGCAGAGGCCCAAGTTTGAATCCATCCAACATCCGGGGTCAGCCTAAAGCACAAAAAGCCCCCAAAATACTTTAAAAAGACATAAAACATGAATAAAATACTCAACTAAAACTAATCCCTCAAATTTTATTAACAAAAATAAAATATTTGGCACAGGCCTATAGAGGCATTACTTAAAATGCTGCCTGTTATATTTGGATGTGCAGCAGCTGTTGCACAAAGCCAACATCTGTCTCGTTAGCATTAATGTTTCCAGAGCAGAGCTACAGCTTTAAAACAAACTAAATTTTGACTTATTCTTACAGCATTTGTTGCACAAATTATTCTGTTGTCAGGAAAAACACCTGTTAGCCTCGAGTAACGTGTTATCTTTGCCTCACCTGCTTTCCTGTCGCTGTGTGTGAGGAGCTGCCTGAGTCTGAGGGGACGAGAGCACAAGAAATGAAGCTAAATGAATCTCATTCTTTAAATCCGAAACAGCTCCTTTTATTTGTCGCAAGTTACTCTGGAGCATCACTTGACCATTTAGCATACCCATTATACCATTTGGTTGTGTAATTCCATGAATGCGGATTTACTCTGTTGATTAGTGTCAGCTGTGCGTTATTAGTTGTTGTATTATAATATAAATGATTCGTACGATTAGAACTGTGAGTTAGAAGGATGCACAGTAAATGCAAGTCCACTTTTAATAGGTTCATCAGCACTGCTTGTCGTGAACAGTATAATACATTAAATCCTAACGGAAAACTGCAGCAGGTGCTGTGAGTTCATATAGGAGCTGAAACATTCATGTCACGTATATAAATCTGACTATACGCTTTAGAACTAATCTGCCTGGCCACTCTGTTAGTGCAATTAACCAGACAGCAAGCTATGCTGTTGTCAGATAACTGCACTAAAATGCTCAAAAAGGCACAAATGCAACAAACGTTGTTGAGTAATTCAGATTGGTGAGAGTGGAGGTAAAGCCTCGCAGAAAGCTAACTGTGCCAACCTGTCACTTAAAGTAACCCCAACACCCAAAATTGCAAACATTAAGCACTGATACAGTTTAAATGGATGAATTATGAAATAAATTATAAATTATGAAAGTGTAAGTTAGCTGAAACTGTTTTATGGTTGTTGCAGGTTTTAATCATGTCTACTTCTGCTGCGAAGTGCTCAGTTTAACATGGGAATCTATGTGGATCGACTCCCTTTTGGAGCCAGCCCCAAGAGGACATTTGAGGAACTGCAGTTTTTGGAATTTGCAAAAAAAAAAACCAGTTGGAACTGTTGTACAGGAGAGACGCAGTATCGTATTTCTAGAAAATGGCATGAGAATTGCCACTCTAACATTTTCATTTTTGCATATATTTTTCCTGTTTTTTGTAGAGTTTGTAAAGATTTACTCTTAATCCTGTATCCTCTTTGTTTTACCTGAAAGAAAAAAATCTACAAATATGCTGTTGCATTTTCAAACTTATAATTACTCCAAGGCTAATTCAGTGAAGGCTATAAGACATTTTGCTTTTCACCGTTAAAATCTGTTAACAGCCGGATATTTACAGCCCTTTAACAGCTAAACTGTGCAGTTGAGTCTGTTGTTAAATATTGAAGGTGCAGGGTAACAGATGAGTGTTTCCTGTAGCTTTTAAAGTTTTTCTCATAAACCAGGCTTTTTTTTCTTTTAAGGCACTGAGAGCGATGGAGATTATATGTCGTGGCCTTGAGAGAAAACCTATGCCGCTACTTGTATAAACTGTAAAATAATCTTCCCGTGGAGCTCCGGTTTCTTCCCCCTCGCAGACCTGTCGGCAAAACACGATCTGGCTAGATTTGGGAATGGAGTAAGGGGGAGGCAGGGGGAGAGATGATCTGATACTTTCCAAAAAAAGCCCCCCATTGGCCCCCACATCCCAACGCAGGCCAGGCAGAGACACCACATCTGGTAATACTGTAGGCACATTGTCCTTCCAGGTCTGTGGGCGAAGCTCAGGTTTCCTCAATATTTTCCCCTAGTGGATTCAGTTACCCAAAGGACATTGCGAGGCTGACGGAGCAGCCAGCGTCACCAGACTTTTCTGATGAACCAAGGATGTCTGGGATGAGCTGAAGGAGCTCTAAATTTAACCTCATTCATCTGAACTGTAACAGGCGTGGCCCCGTCTCCACTGTCCACGCTGTTCTGTGGCTGTGAATGAAGGACGGAGACATGGTCTGCCTTTTTTTTTTTTTCTTTTACTCATTCAATAGATCCAGACATAAACAACCACTTTAAAAGATACAGCCTCTTATCTGGTGGTTGATGAGAGGCTGGTAGGGTTTCTGTAAGCTAAAATGTAGGCATGCATGCCCCCTGTAAGGGGAAATGGGCAACTGCACTCTTAAGCAAACAAAACGCACACATAAGGCCCATTTTAGCTTCATCTTTAAATTTTGTCTTAGTTTGGTTTTTAAAAATGTATACAAAGCATATTTAATGGCTCACTGATTGCAGATGTAGTGGTTATTTAGACTTAAGGCTCATTTTCCTTTTTCATTTGACTCACAATGTTTTTGCAGAATCCTAACCTTGTATACTAATGAGACAAACCCAGAGGTACAAAGTGTAAGAAATCTTTGAATAATGAGGGAATGTGAGAAAAGAGAACCCGGAGGTCAGCTCATCACTCTCAAAACCTTGTTAACCCCTCTGCTCTCTGGACACCACCTTATTTTGTCTCACCATCTGCCTTTTAGCTCCATTTCAGCCCCTCAGACCAGACAGACACCCGAGCCGGCTCTCTCAAACCGGACTCCTCTATAAATACAAAGTATAATGAACGAAGGCGAGCCTGGATGTGCTTCGTGAAATCGCCAGGAGCTCCCCTACGGAGCGAAAATGAGCAGCCGAGTTGCAGTTCACCTGGCTTCCAGCACATCTCACCTCCGATTAATTCTCCAAACCAGCTGTTCAGATACCGTTTCCTCGCTCTTCAGTCAAGGGGGAGGGGGTGTGGGGGGGGCTTGTGGTTTTTAATTACAAATGTCACAGATGAACCGAATAGCGTGTCGGTTGTGATCAGCCTCATTTACATCGACATTTTAGGAGTTTAATCAGCGCTGTTAGCCTTAGTGATTTATGAGGAGGGAGAGGCTAAGTGCAGTACCTGACCTGGGGACACTTGAAGAGGTCAAGTAGCTGCACATGTTGACCGCTGTGTGAATCAAACCTGTAATCTCTGGCTCAGATATGCACCTTTTGGCACCTTTTGCTTTTTGTTTGGCCTCTCAGGCGGCTTCATGAGGTCGTCACCTGAAGCATTTTTTTTTTTTTTTTTAGCAGACTGAAAGGAGTTCCCACATGTGCTGAGGAATTGTTGGCTGCTTTTCCCTCACTGTGTGATCCAGCTCATCCCTAATCAACTCAGCTGGGTTTAGGTTTGGTGATTGTGGGGGACCAGTAAACTGATGCAGCACTCTGCTTCTTGGCGAGATGGCCTTTACAGCGGCTGGCGGTTTATTTGAGGTCATCCCACTCAGTATAAAGCAGGTCTTCACTGCTCCTGGTTCAGGCTTCACTGTTGGGACCAAGCATGCAGACACCTGTGCGTCCTAGCTTTGGTTTCACAGTTGAATTTCTTGTGCTTTTCTTCTTGGTCATCAAAAATCTTTTTTGCAAAGTTTAACATGCTTTCTGATGAAATTCCTGTCTGTCTTTAAGTGATTTATTGTTGATTTTAATTCCTGGTTTGATACAGTTATTATATTTTGGAGTCAATGATATCAAGTAAAATGAGCGTGAATACGAAAATTTCAGGTCCTAATCTGAAACAAACATCTTCAACGTGTTTTTCTTTCATTTTGTCTTCGACAGGTCGTTGAATTGATCTCCAGTGCCATTGGTGATTTGGTTCAAGGAGTCTATTATGAGAATTCCCACAATACAGAGGTAAAACATCTTTTCTTCCCATACAATGCATACTTATCCGTTTTCTCTGGACCTTGAAATATCCCAATGCCTTACTCAAATTAAATTTGGTTGATCTCCTGTTCAAGGTAATCTTCTCTGTATCTCTGCAGTGTTTAGGTCTCTCTGTGGAAGCGTCATTCTGGCCATACTGTGCGCTCTGCAATTTCGCAATTGTAAAGTGTAGAAACTTGCATGTGCCATTTCAGTCTAGTGATGAGAGATGAGTCTCCAGCTATGATGACTGAGCAGTTTTCTGCTGAAGAGACCTCTGTTCACAAGGCTTAAATGGACTGTACTTAGATGGTGCTTTTTTCTCACTTTGAGCACTCCTCACACATAAACAGGTTTGGGTTTTTTTTGTCTATGCATGACATAAACACACGCTGATGAATGCATCTTGCCTATACTTCGGCATGCACACTGGGTGAACCAGGAATCTTCCGATTAATAGCCAACCTGCTCTATTTTCGCACCACCCGGTATTCCCAGGTGGTCTCCCATCCAAGTCCTATCCAGGGACAACCCTGCTTAGCTTCTGAGATCAGATGAGAAGGATATATGGCTGTAAGCGCTGACAGGGTGAACTTCTCTGTGCTGTAACATCCTAAGCTGTCTGAGAGAACATTCAGTTCATTACATTATTATGACACCTTTTTTTGACCTGCCCAGCTCGCTTTACATCAATGCGATTTCATCTGCTTCCCAAAAGTAAAGATCAAGTTGAAGAATTCTGACACATTGGAGGAGGCATAGTGCTAAGACACAAGGCACAAATACATGAAACAACGTACACTGACGCACTAGGAATGGTCCAGAGATACATAAGAAGGCCATTCAACAGCGGGAGACCTACCATTCCAATCATTTATGCCAATTTAAACATGGTTAAAGTTTAAAATAGAGAAGATATCCTTGATATCCTCATCTTGGCCACACAGCTCCATCTGTGAGCACAGAAGTCCCACCTACCTGCTGTTCAAGCCTTGTGGTTACAATGGGCAGCCAATCAGAAGGAAGTTGGCCTTAAAGTGACGATGACCTGAGCTGAAGAGCTAAAACGGTTTATTTCAGACAGAGGATGAACTGAGGGGCAGCATCAAGGCCCAGGAAAAGATAAATAAGGTCAGAATCTCAACAGTGAATCAGTAAAAGCTCTTCTAGTAGACCTCACTAAAGTCCGTTTTTATGTTACTGCCACATTATTAGAACTATACTGAGCAGAGGACATCAAGCTCATAATTTATGTGCAACTACCTTTATTAATAAGCAGTAATTATGAGGTTATTGAGCAGAAAGGTCTCAGGTGAAGTAGAGCATGGTCAGGTTTTGTAATTGCTCACAAACAGTTAATTTACTACTAATAAAGAGGTTAATTGGCAATTTGTTTATGGTGAACATGTGCTCAGTAATGTAAACTATTGCTGTGGCTGTGTAGTTGTTAGCACATTTGCCTAATAGCAAGAAGGTCCAGGGTTTGAATCCACTGGCTGGGGCCTTTCTGAGTGGAGTTTGCATGTTCTCCGTGTGCCTGAGTAGCTTCTCATGAAACACCCGCATTTCCAGCCAGAGTCCAAAGACATGCACAAGGTTATAATTGGTCATTATGTCATTATGTGAATGGTGTTTCTAGATGATATAGTGGCAAACTGTCCAGGGTATGCCCCACCTTTAGCCTTTTAAGGGTAGGTTCCCTCCACCAATACAATGCCTGCTACAGCTTTAGTGCCTGACTGCTTCATGGAAATGACCTTTTTAGGAACAAAGAAAAACGTCATATAGCCTCTTTTGAAATGTGTGAATCATCCGTAGAAAAAATTGGGGTATAATGTCAGAAAATCAGAAAGTACTGAGAGGCAGAGAAAAATGCTTTAGGTTATGTACTTTTTTCATGTAGTAACACCAGCATCCTTATTTTAAGAAATATACTATTGCAAAAACAAGCTTACTCAGATTCAGTTAAAAGCTTCAAGAAACCAAAGATAATATGTTTGGTTGCCTTTAGATTAAATAGTTAACACCTACTGTGAGCAGTAGGGATGGGTATCGTTTAGGTTTTATCCGATACCGGTGCCAAATCGGTACTTTTGAAACGGTGCCGGTGCTCAAACGGTGCTCAAACCGGTGCTTAAAGAATGGAGAACACAAAATTGGTCCAAAAACCTCTCATGTTCAGCTGTTTTTTGTAAAAATATAACAATGTTAGCCTTTTCTGCAGCTATGGGGCATATATGGTATCACTCTTGGCTGGAAGCAGTGCAATGGAAAAAACACAAACTTTGTCCTAAACCTCTCATGTTTAACTGTTTTCCACTTTTTCTTTGGTCATTTTAGCCTTTTTGGCCAGGGTGAAGGGAGTATCTGCCATCAAACAAGAGGACAGCCGCATGTAGCTATGATGATGTTTGCTAGTTCACCTTACATGCATTAATGTAATAACGTGGTTAGCCTACTCAACGTAAATTAGCTACTCACGCAGAGAAGAACGGCTGCTGCCACCATCATCCGTCATCATTTCTGCTACACTGGCAGGGCTAGGGGCCAGGACTCTCCTCTTCGTGTTTTTGGGGGATGTTGTATAACAGGCAACCCACCCGCAGTAGATGTGCTCGGTGTGAGGTCTCGCAGCAAGCTATCAAATACGGTGCATTTCTGGGCTTTTAAAAAAAACGCTATGCATCGCCAGGTGTTTCATCGGATTTGAGGTGTTACCTCCTTTGACAGTATCACAGTATCAGCTTAAAGCACTTGTTGCTGCTGAGTTTGCATCTTTTGCTGTGAAGTACAGCCAGACTTCTGACCGCTTCGCCTTGGACATTTTTAATCTGTAGCTCTGCTCTAACAGAACGTACGTACCTGGCCCCGCCTACTATCCTCGGAAACGTAAAATGATTGGCTGGAATCTAAAGTGTATCACAGCTCAGGAAAAAAAAGCACCGAAATAAAGCACCGAAATGTGCGCTGCTTTTCGGTCTGGTTACTACCGTTTATGTCAGAACCGGTGCCATCATGGCACCGGACACCGGTACCCATCCCTAGTGAGCAGCATAGAAAGGTTAGTAATGCTTCTGTGTGAAGTGGCAAACAATAACTGAATAAGACTAATAATAGTAATAAGCAGCTTTCTTTCCTAAATAGTCCACAGTAATCAGAGGTACCAGTGAGCAACAATTTTCTTTAACTCATCTAAATCTGTGGGTTATGTGCTGAGTTTATAACTAGTTAATTTGAGGTAGTTTAAAAAAACATCTCCAACTCTGACACAATTTACTTATTTTATTACTTTTATATATTTTAGAAAATGTCATACACATAATTGATGTGTTTCAATGGCTTTTTATTCTCTATTTTCCAGAAATTTAGAATTTATTTAATAGTTTCTAATAATAACAACCTGTTTCCATTTGTGTATATTTCTTATGATTTACTTAAATTTGCAAATTAAAAAAAGCAAACTCTCAGTTGTTTTTCTGCTGTTACTGTTTCCTTCTTCCTTTAAAATGACTGAGGAACATGTGGAAAATAACTGTGTGCTGCTCCTCGCTGAGGCCTCACGAATTACACACTGAGAAATAAAGTCAAAGAGCAAGGAAGGCTTGTTTTGGTGGAGCAGCGAGGTGCTCTGTGGGAACTTAAAAGCGGAGGAAGCTCAGGCCTGCTCACACATGCTCTTTGCCTCTGTTTGCTCTGCAGGAGAACGGCCTCACCGACGGCATCGACGTGGCGGCGTGGGAGGAGCAGACGTTCCTGTCTCATGGGGCGCTGCTAGCCAAGAGCTGTCAAGCTGCGATGGAGCTCGCCAAACACGACAAAGAGTCTCAAAGACTGGCCTACAAGTACGGCAAACACCTGTCGCTGGGCCACAAGGTGAGGCGAATCCAGCAAGTAACATATACAAGAAAGGAGGTTGTCTGAGCAATAAATCTATAATGGTTGATCAGCGTATCATCACGATGCCTTTTTTAGCGGGAAACCAACTGGATTTCAAGGGATTAGATACAAGAAGAACAAACTCTTTTGATAATTTAGACAAGAGATTTAAAAAAAGATGTAATAAACGCCTGACTGTCTTAGAAAAAAGCCAAGAGAAAGATCCTAGTCGCTCCAGTCATTAGTTCCTTGGAAACAGAAAAAATATTGTAATTCCCGGGATTTTTGTCTCTATGAATATGGATGGTTCAGGAGCATAGTCCCAGTCATCCATAATTCAGCAGCTTAAGGATGTCAGTATGTTGAAGTTTTTAGGCATGAGGTCTAGACTTCGAGTGGGCTGTTGCAGCAGCTTGATTCTTTTCTTTGTCAGCCATGCTGTGTGTCGATCGCTGTCCTGGTGCTTGACCCAATTTCAGCCAAACTTTAACTGTCGGTCAGAAGGACTCATTCTAGAATATGTTGGTATACAGAGGAGTTGTGGCTTCAAACTAAGCCCAAATCGTCACTCCTCCACCGCCGTGCTGATATGTGTTTGGTTATTGCCAAATGTGGAGCTGTGCATTTTGTTCAGACATTGTTCCAGAAGTCTTGCGCTTTGTTCAGATGTAACATTGTAAACCTAAGCCATGCAGCCGTGTTCTTTTTAGAGACAAGAGGCAACATAGATTGTTGCATTTTGTTATGTGCAGTGAAAAAAAATGTTATGTCAGTACTTAAATTAAAAATGTGGAGGTTTTCTGGCGGTTCTAATTTAGTCTTTGATCTTTTTTTATGCCAAAGTTTTGGACCTCCTGACTGACATACTTTCTGTGATCAAGTTAATTCAAAGTAAAGAAAAAAATCTGGCTTCTTGTAATGTCTGACTTCTTTCTCTCTCATCCTCGGCATGAATAATTGCCCTTCTTTTCAAAAGTGTTTTTATGTCTATTTATCAAATACTTCACACTGTAGCTGAATTGATACATAAAAGCGTGACGTTAAAGGGAGCAGAGTGATTTATCGGCACTACAAAAAGTGCAAACGAAACATAGGAAACATTAGACTTAAGTGCCTGTCTGTCTTATTATTCTTGTATCAGAGAGGGGCATAAAAATGTGGAAACAGGAAGAAGGTTGATTTGTTATGTGCTAGAATGTCATTAAGATGTAAATAATGCAGCTGCTCAGTTATTTTTCCCAAGGTTCAGAGATTTTCAGCTGAATATTATTGGCGCTGGTGTAGAAGTCATTCATAATGATCCCACTCTCATTGCTGCTTTAGTGCGTCCTCTCCTGCTGGGGCTCCCTGTAGCTGCCTGCCTGCAGGCCTCAGTGGCTACAGGGAATCTCAGCATGGGAGGAACCAAAAATGAGGTCTTTGAAGGAGAACCGTCCTCATCAGGCTAGCTGTGTCTGTTCATTAACAGGGTCAGCTCAGAGTGTAGGCAGGCAAATGCAACCTTGACTGTTTTCACCACTGACTTGGTTTAATTGATAAGCTGAAAGTTACAAAGTAGAAGCTCCGCAATGACGAATGTTCTCTGCCTTTCTGCAGCTGAACTCTGACCTGCAGCCGTTTATGAAGAGCAGAATAGGAGAGCCGCTGTCATTTAGTCTGAGCGCCGCCCCGGTCGTTTTCCACCGTCAAATTATGGGCCGGGAGACGTGGCATCATCAGCTGCAGCAGGTACGTTAAGGATGGTCCATGACACCAGGGCCAGCTGGATTCACTGCCTTTATGTTTCTAGCAGGAGTATCAGCTTTAATTTAAATAGGTTTGCATCAGATCTGAAAGAGCTGCGTGCAACCACTTGAAAAGTTGAATGAATCTTACTTTATAATATAATTCACAGTATCTGTTACTGTGATGAGTAAAGAAGATCAAACTGAGGTCTAAAACAAAGGTGAGAGAGAAAGCTGTTAAATTTCTCCATACTGCTGAAACAAAACTCACCTGATCTCAGTCCGACTGACCTGCCCTCCATTCACTCAGTGACTGAATGAACAAATTCAGTCACTGAGTCCAGAAAAAGTTTGGGGGATGTGTTTTGGTAAAGCCATACGCAGCAGTCTTATCAAATAGGACCTGATGGTTGGTCAGAATAGTGTTTACCCCACCCCTGCTCCACTGTGATTGGATGGCCTGGCCAAAAGAGGGTTTGCAACCAGAGAAGCAGACCCCCAGCGTCTCCTCACACTGCTGCTGTTTTGAGTATAATTTAAAAACACTGTGCTTCTAGTGCTTCTGCAGGCCTCAGGTAAAAATAACTTCCCCTACAGGCAGGGAACAATAGCAGTGAGGCTGGCAGAGCATCATCGGGAAAGTTAAGACTTCAGGGTTGTTCCTTATTGAAAAAGTTTTGCCCTGACCCCCTCTGAATCAGTGGAAGTCGTTTTTATTGTAGTACATACAGCAACAACTACTCCAGGTGTCACTTTTTCACTATTCAGCTTCAGTTGTTATTGCATCTGACTTGTTTGCTTGACTCTTTGCTTTAGTTTTATGCATTTATTTTGTATTTGCTATTGTGCAAATTGTAACAACGAAGAAGCACGCTTTGTCCTCTGACTATTGTAGGTGTAGGTGGGGAAATAGACAGTGAAATATTCCCTGTGCCTTGGAGAAATTTCTAAAGCTTACCCTTAGAAGCCAGAGATACATGCCTGCTTTATCTCTTTTTCTTTTATTCTTCAAGGCAAAAACTTTGAGAAACCAGCTGGATTACTCAAAGGTAAGCACACAGCTTTACGAATGCCTTTATCCAGAATCTGCCCGTTCCGTGAGATGTGAACTCTTAATGTTACTTCACAATGTGACACAAAGTTCAGTTTTATTCGGTTATCTTTGAGTTGCACTTTTGTTACAAGTTTGTTAGATGGCCACAATTTTCCTTTGCCGTATTTCACAGTTTTTACCTCCTTACTGTCTGCCCTCAAAGACGGCAAAGAGAAACAGGATGTCTTTTCACTGTAACTTATATCAAAGTTGGGAAACAAGCTTTCCAAAGTCAATGTGTGAGGCATAGAAGGGGACCGATAGGGGTGCAAAAAAAGAGCGAAGCTACAGAGGAGGGGGGGTCCGATGGTGTTGGAAGAGGGGAGGAGGGGGGTGTTATCTGGTCTCGCCTGAAACAAGAGCAGGAAGGATTAGTTACCGAGGCCTATTTGCGGAGGAGACACCGAGACTCTGAGACAGTGGCATTGTGAGAGAATCTCCTTCAGTAGGGCTGCTGAAAAGGGGAGAGAAGTTTGAGGGGAAGGAGAGGTGAGGAGACACAAGGAGGGAAACTAAGAGCAGCACACGGGGGTGAGAAAACGTTAAAGTTTGGATTCAGCACAAAGTTAGGAACCTGTAATAGCTAAAGCCAGCATGAATGAACTGAAAAATGACAAGCAGAGTTTCGTGTTGACTGTTAGTCTTTTGTTCCCCAGTAGCTCTACACACACAAAATCAGTCAGAAGTTTTATTTGTAGGCACTTATGTTTTGGTTTTAATCATCTAAGAAAATCTGAGTACAGAAAAGACGTGAGGATGACTCACTGTAGCCTGAGGAGCTGCTTCAGCTACTCAGGAGGTGTGCTCACCATTCAACGCACAATTTATTGTGACCTTCAGTAAGCATGGTCAGGTTTTAATCAGTGGATTGTATAAAGAGAAATGTCTGTTTTTTATATAACTTGTCATTGCTGTGTAGCTGTTAGATGGTGACCCTGCAGAAAGTTTGAGTGTGATTGGATGAATAGTGATGATGAGCAGCAAGGGAGGAAGATATGGAGAGTTAAACATGTCTGCTAAATTGATCAGGGTTTATTATGTTGTTAAATCTTGACCAGATTAAAAACAAACATTAAGCAGAAACACCAACTTTATTCTGTGTAAGTTCCAATTTTTCCAAGTATTTAAATGTTTCTCAGGCTACGTCCAGACTAGCCTGGATAAATTTGAAAACGGCGTTTTCGTCTGAAAACGGCGTTTTCGTCTGAAAACGGCGTTTTCGTCTGAAAACGCCGTTTTCGTCTGAAAACGCTCTGCGTCCACACTGAAACGGCCGAAAACGTTTAGGTTCCAGTACTGCGGATGCGTGAAAGGCAAGACTATTCGACCTGCCTCATTTTTGTCTGCTGTTTATTTACTTTTCGGCTCTTTGAAACGTCGCGGCACAAGGTCGAGGAAAAGCACTGAGTTTTTTAAATGGACTAACAATGAGGTGGAGTTGTTGCTGCGAGTAACACAAAAGTACAAAGTTGCAAAAGCGAGTGAGAATTAAAAAATTTGAAGAAAAGCTATCTGGAGCATGTACAAACTGATATTAGTCTTTAATAGGGCTGTCAAAATTGAGAGCAAACAAAACAACTGCTGTATAATGCCCTCCGCTATCTTAGTTTCATTGGTTACATGACTGTATCACATGACTAAATTGTGTCATCGTTTTCGAAAAGGCTCCGGGTTCGCTGTCCACACTGCGATGCGAAAACGTATCTGCTTTGGAGAGTGTTTTCAAAACGCGTTTTCCTTGACCGAAAACGCCGTCTCAGTGTGAACGGAAGGTCAAAACGGGGAGAAAAAGATGCGTTTTCAAACTAAAACGTGTTAGTGTGGACATGGCCTCAGTGTCTTGCCATTTAGCAGCCATCTTGGTATCACCTGTGGGCAGTTATTTTGTGTTGCCAAGAGCAATTGTGATGTTTTTGGCATTACACAATTTACATTATGTGCCACAGACTTACCAGGACCTGAAAAGCATAGAAAAGGACTCTAGAAGATGGGCTGGCTTATAATCAGTGGAAAGTTGCAGCAGTAATCAGGAGCCACAGAGCAAGCCATGATATCGTGGACAGGTGCTTCAGGAGCTGCTCAGGGTCTCTCATTGGCTTTTAATTTAATTACACGGGGGGTAACTCACCGTTTCATACTAAATCTTGACAAAGTGGCGTTTTCAGATGAAAAACTAACTCCATCTTTTATTAAATGATGTTTAATATATTCAGTGTACATTACTTTTGAAAAATGAATTAACTTGATCATATTTTATTGAATTATGTCAGCTATCATGCTCACTTGTCCTGTTTAATTTTTTCTCATGTGCTGCATGTGAATATTGATGAGATCAGGAGACTCAAGGCAGCAAAGACAGACAAATCTTGTTCGGAGCATGAAGAAAGAACAGGATGTGGAACCAAACATAACGCGCAAACAGAGGAGGGAGAGAGGAAACGTTAAAAACTAATGCCGAATTAAAGAAGGTTAACGGAGAAGATGGCGCGAAATGTTCCAGGAAATATAGTCTTTTCTAAATTTAAGAAGAAAAATGATAATAAAGAACTGCAGGTGTCGAACTCAGCATCACCCTGGCTGGTGATTTAGAGAAGAAAGGCCTACGGGGTTTTCCACCTCCAGAATTCATCAGGTAAAACGCCTCCAGCAAAAAGATGTCCCAACACAGCAGCAGTAAAGCACAGGGAGGTGCACAAATTCACTCAGTCTGTGTACTTAAAGCTGATGTTAGAGTTGATTTGATTTGATGGCCTCTGCTTCCTCATGCGTGAAATGTGTAAGTTGTGTAAGGTGCATGAGGTGCTCTCTGGAATATAGGAGCAGAAATCAACGTGTTAAAAAAAAATCCAACAATCCGTGACTTTGTGACGGACAGTCTTCACGGAAATCCTTTGTTCAGTTGATTACCTGGCGTGCAGAAAAACCGGTGCCTTCATTAGTAAAGTGGAAAGACAGAAAAGCTGTGAGCTACGTAATTAGCACTGGCAGAGAAACACGATTCAGGGCATTTCTTTTCTCATTGTCAAATGCCAAATTTTTAAAGCCTAACTCACAGTGATGAGTCTGAAAATTTCCTCTTGTAGTTAAATTTGGGAAGCTGCCTTCAGTGGTACCACTGGCAGCACAGACGTGATTGTGATTGGGGTTTTTTGGGGAGGGGTTATTAAAAGGCATCTTTCCTCCCGTTTTTACCCCTCGGGCCCGCTTTAACAGCAAGCTAACTTTCGCTGCCTCTTAACAGTTTATTGTGTTGACAGCTGGATAGTAACGAGAGTGACACAAACATGACAAACTAATGTGTGTTTTCATCCGTCTGCAGCTTTTGGCAGCGGTTAAATCGGAGAAAGGCGTGAGCACGGCGATGGACTTGTGCTGTTACCATGGCAACAAGGCTCTGGAGGCCATCCAGGCTTTCCCCTCCTCCGAGGCTCGATCCGCCTTGGAGAACATCGCCTCTGCCGTCACCAAATTTTGACCTGGACACACACACACACACACACTCCTGTACAGCCTGGAGGGGTCTTTGTCTGCAGAGGCCAAAGAACGAGAACAGATTAACTTTGTTTTACTCGATCCAGATGCTGAGAAACTGTTCTGCTCTCTGGTCATCATTAAATAAAAAAGTTTTTTTTAAAAACCCCACATTACTTCAGCATCATGTCATGCGTTTTGTTTTCTCTCATGCCTGGAGAAAATAATCACACCGGGCTGCTGCAGTTTCAAACCTGGCATTTATTGTTGCTTTGCTTATCAGCGAAAGCACATCCCAGGCAGAACGTAATTTAAGATGTTTTGAAGAATTGTTATTGTCATCTGGAAAATGTACCATGAACAGGAAATGATACACCGAGCGGCACTTATTTTTTCAAAAATTACTTTTAAGAATAGCTTCCTCCTGGTTGCCGCTGCACGGCACAGATGATGGTGAAATCATAGCTGCTGGATTTAGTGGGTGTTTGCCAAGTTGAAAAGCGGCACCAAACTGGTTGTAAAAATGTCTCAAAGTCATGTTCTACCTGGTGTGTACCACTGCTGATAAGCACAGCTGCAAAAAAAATGTATTTTTTTTTAATAGCATTTGGCGTGCTCTTCGCTACAGAGGAGGAACCGGCATGAATCAGGGGTAATGTCATCTGTGTTGCCTTATTATGTCTCTCCCCGTGTTTGTCTGTGTGATCCAAGTCAAGCCAGGGGCGGGGAAAGGTCACCCAGCCTCTCCCCTTGGCCCAGCCAGCGAGCGCATTGAAGCTCCGCCAAGCAGTAATTATTAATGAAGAGACCTGAGCAAATGGACAGGAAATGCAGAGGTATTGATTGGGCCGGCTGCCCTGCTCTAAGCCGTACAGGCTGGCGCCAGCCTGGTGGCCTGTGGTTTCCCAGGCTGCTGTCTGCAGAGGGAGGCGGCGGGGGGGCAGCCAAGGTGTGAAACCAGGCCACCACTGGCAGCTGTCTGTCACATCGAGGCCACACCTGAAGGACAGACAGCCGGAGACGGGACGAGAAAGAAAGGGGGCTGAAGGTACACAGATTGTGACGAGGAGGAATTGAAAATTAACTAACAAATACGCAAACACCACCTCAAAATTAATTTCGTATCATGTGAGAGGACCCGAAGACACTGGGAGGAGTATTATAGTCACATCCTTTACATTTTTTAAATTAAAAAATATATTTAGGAAAGATCATTAATAAAAGACTTTCTATTAGTCCTGTTGGTGATGTTATTTAATGGTGGCCTGTAAGCTGCATCTTTTCAGGACCTTTTTTGCTTCTCAGGAATCAGGATAATTTTAATAATCCCAACATGGAATTATATACCTGTCACAAATATTTTAAATTAATTAAATATTAAACAAGAAATCATTTTATTTAAAACAAATTGTGAAATTCCTGTATGGAGGACTCCGCGTGTCATGGAAATGGTGATAAATCACTTTACTATTAGTGATAGTTAGTAAAATGAATCTCAGAGAGGGAGAGAGAGATTCATATTCATTTTTAAAAAGGCCCAATATTTACAACCTCAAAAATTAAAGGGAAAAAGAAATGGCAAAGACCAGTTGTGATACCATAATCATGTTCTGTTTTCCTCGTAACTAAGCAACCACCAGCATTATTCATGTCATCAGTTTTTTAGTGTGTTATGAAATAAGCACAGCTGTTGTTTTTCCCATTATTTATATTGCTTTCACATAGTGAAATGAAGACCACAGCAGAGGTATTTGTTGGTGTGGAAGTAAACAGAAAAAAAAAATCTCCTGTTCTAGTGTCATTGATTTTTGTCTGTATGCCTGTTGTTTTATATGAGGAATTTAATAATATAAAACATTTTAAAGACAACACACACACACAGCAGTTTTTGTAATAAAAATGAATGGCAAACATGATGTCTATAGTCACTTTAAATAACTAATGGGATATTAATTTTAAAAAATGAAATTGTATAAATTAATCTATATTTATTTTTGCTGTTTTATTTATATAATTACATGTATTTATTTGTTTTATATTGGCAGATTTGGTCCTCCGTACAGGTAACAAAGTTTTATAATTATGTTGCAAATTTTCTACTTCTGCTAACAAAAACTAAAACATTCAAATTAATTAATGAATAATTTAGACAAAATAGTTTTGTTTTGTTTGTTTTTTTGTGGGAATAACTGTGGAGGATGAATTTGTAAATGTCCTTTAGGACCCTTTGGCTTTTACACTTCAGCTCCTCAGTTTTGGTGACAGTGATATGAACATAGTAAACATCACGCCAGTGTGTTTAAACACAGTCTCACTGAGCTTCTAGTCTAAAGTCTTTGATGGTTCCCTAAAGAAAAAAAAAAACTCCAACACAGCAGCGTGATCAGTGAGAAAATGGTTATTTAGTCCTGTCTAATCTGAAAAACCTGTGAGCTATTTAGAGTGGGGGGAAGAAAACTACATTCGAAGGTTACCTGCTGGGAGTGGTGGTGTTTTTTAGAGCTTACATGTTGGTTGTAATTATTTGATCCCAAACTTCAGATAGTAACGGCTTTGAAACCAGAGTAGCACTGGTGGGGAAAGGGACCTGAGGTGAGGAAGAAGAAGCAGAGTGGTGGATGAGGAGCAGGGAATAGGAGATGATAGGATATAAAAGAAGAAGGTGGGGTTGAAGTGCAAGAGGAGGTGATGTGGAGCGAACTGTTTGAAAAACAAGCCCATTTCTGTTGCTGGGTTGTTCGTCCACTTCCTCGTCTGTTTTGGTTTCCGCTGCCTGGGTTTCCTGCGTACAGAGAGGTACTGCATGTGCCAGGGAAAGCCTCAGGCACTTCATGAAATATTTATCCTCGCCGTGAGGAGACATGAGGAAAGTTACACGGAAAGTTAAAAGGACCAAACAAGGAGAGAGGCCATGGCACTGCCAGAATGACAAATATAGTTGCTAAACAAAACTTTATTTCAGAGGATGAGGTCTGGCCTAAGCAATGAAACTGTTGCATAGACATTCCCAGCAGAAATCAGCCAAGCACAGCAGAAGAAGACTTGATGGGTGAAGTTTTTTTTCAGTGGTAAAGCTGAATGTTTAATGCCGAACAGAAATCATAGCATTTTTCCTTCCCTGACAACATTGTTGCTGCCAGTATTAATCTTTCTGATACCTCGTAGCCCAAACAAAGAGCAGAATGAGGAAGGTGAGGGGCTTTTGTCAAGTTTCTATCCTGCACTGCAGCAACTTGACGCTGTGTTTGCTTACAGTTTCCAGTTTGGGAGTCTTGGGTTTCATGAAAAGGAAGACTTGGCAAGGCTATAAGTTTACATCCAAAACATGAAGTGTGAAAGAGAGGCCTTAGTGTGCCCAGCCCAGGCGACGAGTGGTGTAATTACAGCAGAGTCCAGTGGAGAGAGCAGGTCAGCGCAGCCCAACAAATTTCCATTACACACTCAAACACTGGAACACTGCTGTGGAAGCTGGGAACGGTGACTGTTAGATCTACGGTTGTCTGAAAACATATTTCTGGATTTTTTTAAGTGCCAAATTCAATAATTAAAACATGATATAAATGTTAAATTAGAAATTCCCTGATTTGCAGTGTTAAAAGAAATACAACTTTATTGTCAATTCCTAGGAGTATTAGGAATTGCTGGAGCGAAGGCTCAAATGCAGCACGTTGACATAAGCATCTTTATTGGCTGATGGAAAGATCAAAGTGATCAAACAGCTGAAATTAAACAGGAGGAGGGAGTCAATCTAACAGAAGGGAAAGTATTTACAGCCACAAGAAGACAGGAGAAAATTAACTTTCAAATTACAACACTGAATTATGAGGCCTACTATTACATATAAATGCCTTATTAATGGTTAATTATTCATTACTGCATTCACTGTACTTTATAAAAGATTAAAAGTGATGGATTGGTCCTTGTGCTTTGATTTCCAAAAGCACTTTTCGTTATATTTCCATTATATTCAAAGAATGGCAGATATTTCTATAGCTGATATCTCCAAAGTAAGCTAGATGGATACATTATTACACATTTTAGAAGAACAGGAGATGAACCAAACCCACTTTCAGATGGTAGGGTCAGAATTTGATAGAATATATTTAATAAATATAAACATAACAGAATAAATATATTTTTAAAAGACTACAACAACACAACAACAACCAGTTGTTGTTGTGGGAAAAAAAATGCAGTATTTTTTTAATGGGAAGGCAATTCCATTGACTTGATGAAGAGAACCTGTCTCTTACCGTCCGTCCATCCATTTTCTTAATCACTTAGTTCAAGGTTGCAGGAGGCTGGAGCCTCATTTACCACAGGACGAGAGGCGTGGCACAGACCGGACAGCCTGCCAGTTCATCACAGAGATACAGAGAACCATACACTCTCACATCCACACGTCCACACTTTTAACTGAGTTTGCTTTACACGTGAAGATCAGTTTACTTATAATGAGGATTATTATTCAAGCCTGTGGGGGGAAACACATCAGCTATAGCTGTGGGGGAGCCTTTAAACATTTAAGGGAATCCTTGTGTGACAAACCAAGTCTGGAGAGTTTGGAAGATTAGGGTATTTACCAGTGAGGGCCTACTTAAAGATGCAGCCAACAATGCATCTTGGGAAGTGTAGTAGCAGCTGTTTTAGGTTTGGTCATTCTTTCTTTGATCTTAGTTGTTCTCAGTTGGATTTTAATGATTTGGGCTATTGTACATAACATACATTAATTTCTTGTTAATTCATTTTTAAACAATAATGAATTCTTGATTGTCATGAATTCACAAGCTTCATTGCCTATTAATAAAAACGATAAAAGCTTTGTACATTCATGAGTTTGACCATAAAAAAATCTTCATTAGGCCTAAAGTGGAAATTAGTTTCTAAATTCTGATACATAAATTTAATAATTACACCTGATAGCTGTTTATTAAAACGTATGTCTAATAAGCCGATCCAAAGGATCAAATGATCTTTAAAATAAAGTCCTATAATTTGCTCTACTTGCCTCTTAGCACTCTTGCTGCACCATTTTTGAATCAACTAGAAGCTTTTCAGGGAGATAATAAAGGATTGCAATAGTCCAGCCTAGAAATAACGAATGTGTGGACTAGTTTCCAACCTCACACTGAAACAGGATGTTTCTCATTTTTATTCCTCAGATGAAAGAAAGCAGTCCAGCACATTTGTTTAATGTAGTGTTGAAGGACATAGCCTGGTCATAAATGACAGTGTTACCAGAGGCCAGGTTAAAGACATCCAGAGTAAATATCTGCTTAGACACCATGTTTCAAAGGTTTTCAGTACAATAAGCTCAGGGTTTTTTTTCCAAATGTACTATATTTCAATACTTCAACGAATGTTTCGAAGGGGTTTTTTTTTGTTTTTGTTTTTTTGCCAGTTTTCACCACAGCCTACCTGAGTATTGTTACTGACCATCTCTATCCCGTCATGAACACAGTGTAGCCATCATCTAATAGCACATTAAGACTCCGTTACCTTTACGGTGGCGTGAAGTCAGAGATGTGCATTTAGGAAGAGCCTGTCAACAAAGCTGTAACACATGTAATACTGTCTGGTCTATATAGATGGAAATCTCAGAGCAAGGGTTCAGACGTCTTTTCAAATCGGTGCCACAAAAAGGATTAAAAGTGGCCCTAAAATCAGCAGATTTA